TTTGATTTTGCATCCAACAATGATTTGTGGTGATGTGTCGTGTCGTGTGGGAGGTTAAAAAACCCCATTAGCTCCTGCTTAAAAAAATATAATCAGAAAAAGCAGCAGACCAAAAAGGTGTAATTTCTTCCAGTTGCTATGAGGGACTTTAGGATTTTTGTTACTCTGCATCAAACGCCACACAGGCTTCATATTGTTTATTTGTGGATGATATTGCTGTCACTTGACTTGAATCATCATCATTATCATCATCTCAACTTGTGTCTTGTTAATGGTGCTTCCTTCTGATGAAAACTTTATTGTTTAGGCCACTTTTATTACTTGTGTGTGGCTAGGATGGGTGATGCTTTGGCGTTAACTCTGTCAGACAATTGACTTACAATTGAATCTTCTCGAATGGGATGTCCGCACTTTAATTCGCAGAACACCTTCTGTTGTCCTCTCAAAACTGCTCAGTGGGTTTAATCAAAAGCATAATTTATTGGCTGTTGAATTGAAATAATTAGCAAATTGGAACCTGGTTGTCAAAACACATTCAGTTAACTGTCTTTTGATTTTCTTTTTGCGTATCCTTCTCTCCTCCCTACTGCATGTTTTACAACTGAGAAACAGTGAAATCTTCCGGTCAGCATGTTTTGCACAGTAGAATGTAGTTCATGTTATCCTGGGTGACAAAGTGTCTTTCCAGTACAAAATTAGTATTCAGGATGCTATTCTTTTGCTTAATATAATTGATATGATTGAAGAAAGCACATTTTTGGTTTTGTGACGATATAATTGTTGGAAAGTCATAAAGAACTAAATTTATGAATATCAAGATTGACAGAGATTTTTCATTTCTTCAAAGCTCATACTTTTCCATTATAACACGTCAAATTTGGGCCCGGGCAGCAGATCTGGCCTGCTACATTATCTTATGTGGCCCGCTAATACAAATCATGTGCATTAACTTTTATGATTCTGGCACAAAAAATCTACCGAAATTTCATATAGTTTTTATATATACTGTATATATGTGTATATATATATATATATATATATATATATATATATATAAATAGATAAGTACAGTACACATAAGGGTAAAAGTATTTGATGACATGTAGATTTCTTCCTTTTCTTTGGGATTGAAAAACGATCAATACACATTATTACACAACAAGGGGTAGGACTAGATAAGTTGTATCCTTCATCCTACTCCTTTGAGCATATAACTGTGACGATGTTTGTTTTACTTACTTTTATTTTTTCCTTTTATGACTTTTGTTTGCATTTTGTCAATCTGTTATTGTATGTTCTATATATGTTCAATAAACAAAACAATACAATACATTACTGCGATCGCTTGTTAAAATTATCCGTTGTATTCTTTGCGTGCACGAACAGATATATTGCAGAGGACCGCAGCAGCGCGACTGTATGTTGTATAATGTTTGACTAACTGGAGACCCTGGCTGAGCAGGGCATGTCGGCGATAACGATGCGCTGATTGGCTCCTCTGAACTTAAGGTGTGCCCATACATAAGCGTA